AGAAGAAGAAGAAGAAGAAGAAGAAGAAGAAGAAGAAGAAGAAGAAGAAGAAGAAGAAGAAGAAGAAGAAGAAGAAGAAGAACTGTATAGGAGCTGGGCTGTGATGGCACGTGCCTTTAAACCCCACGGGTGAGGGGGGCAGAGGCAGGTGAATCGCTGAGTTCCAGGTCAGCCTGGTCTACAGATCGAGTTCCAGGGATACACAGAAAAACCCTGTCTTGAACACCCCTCCCCCCTAAAAAACAACAACAGCCAAAAAAATCTGTGTAGGTATGGTATCAATGTTGAGGCTAGGGATGTAGCTCAGTCTGTAGAGTGCTTGCCTAGCATGTTTGAGGCCCAGGTTCGATCCCTGGCATCACACACACACACACACACACACACACACACACACACACACACACGGTACCACTCCAGAGCCATGCCAGGTCCTTCTTCCCTCGTCTCTGCAAACCGCCTCCCCTCATGGAACTGGAATCTGCAGTGCAGAATCTGCCCCTCCTGCTACCCTCCTCCACTCTGCTCCCTGCTCAAACCCTAGCCTCCCTTGGGAAGATGGCTCTTGCTTAGGACAGCAGGTCCCGGCATGTCTCCTCCTCCCTGTGCCACACAGACGGAGGCTCTTGTCACACTCATCCCTCACCTCCTGCCCCTGTGGTGTATACAGGGCCTGATGATCCTGGCACAAAGACCCTCGGCCTTGGGTGTTCCCTCAGCTCCCTTCATTGAGATCCTTTCTTCCAGGAGTAAGGCAGAGAAGAGCAGAGGAAGAGATGGCCTTCTCTAGCAACTGCACGTTCAGACACGAGCACAGGCACTCACACAGAGACACAGACACACAGCAAGTACCCACCCTATACTCAGAGAAGGCCAGCAAGTACTCGAGTCTCTATTTATAATCCTGCTCAATCTTCCTTCCTCTCAGACTCGACACTCCTAAACCACACTCCTTTTCTTGTTTCCACATCAATGATTACTTAAAAATTCTGTCTGTCTGTCTCTGTCTCTTTCTGTGTCACTCTCTCCCTGTCTCCCTGTCTCTCTGTCTCTGTCTCTCTGTGTGTATGTGTGTGTAGGAATGGGTGTGCAGATACGCTCACTTATGTGTGCACATATGGAGACAGAAGCTGGCATTAGCTACCTTTCTCTATCACTCTTCTCTGTTTTTTGAGATAGGGTTTCTCGCTGAACATGTGTCTTACTGTTTCAGCTGGACTGGCTGGCCAGAAAGCCCCGGGATCCAAATTGCCTCCACCTCTACAACCATGGGGTTATAGTGTACACTATCATGCCTGGCTTCTACGTGAGTGTTAAGGATCCATTGCAGGTCCTTTTTGTTTGTTTGTTTGTTTTTTCGAGACAGGGTTTCTCTGTGTAGTTTTGGTGCCTGTCCTGGATCTCACTCTGTAGACCAGGCTGGCCTAGAACTCACAGAGATCCACATGGCTCTGCCTCCAGAGTGCTGGGATTAAAGGTGTGCGCCACCACCGCCCAGCAGAGGACAACTTTTGAGAGTTGGTTCTCTCCTTCTGCCATGTAGGTCTTGGAGATTAAACTGGAGTCACCAGGCTTGAGAACAAGTGCTCCCTCAGCTCTGTTTCATGTACTAGTGTATCCCAAACATCTAGGAGTACCGGGGACATACTGGGGCTTGTACATGCACATACATGAACACAATGAAGAAAGGAAGGTGAATAGTTATTAAGATTATGAAGGGGGAGCCAGGCGGTGGTGGCGCACGCCTTTAGTCCCAGCACTCGGGAGGCAGAGGCAGGCGGATCTCTGTGAGTTCGAGGCCAGCCTGGACTACCAAGTGAGTTCCAGGAAAGGCACAAAGCTATAGAGAGAAACCCTGTCTTGAAGAAAAAAAAAAAAAAGATTATGAAGGGGGCGCTGGAGAGACGGCTCAGAGGTTAAGAGCACTGGCTGATCTTCCAGAGGACCCTAGTTCAATTCCCAGCACCCACATGGCAGCTCACCCTATCTGTAACTCCAGATTCAGGGTATCTGACACTCTCATACAGACACACATGTAGGCAAACACCAATGCATATAAAATGAAATAAAAAAAAAAGAGTTGTATTATAGTTCTAGCCGAAGGCGTGGCGCACTCCTTTAATCCCAGCACTCAGGAGGCAGAGACAGGCAGATCTCTGTGAGTTGGAGGCCAGCCTGGTCTATAGAGTGAGATCCAAGATAGCCAGGGCTACACGGAGAAACCCTGTCTGGAACCCTCCACTTCCCAAGAGAAAGGTTATGTTTCCATTTTGTAACAACTAAGAAAATAAACTTGTTGGTGCTCTGGGTGGCAAGATGCCCCTGTGCCTGAGCCGTTCTGAACACGGTGTGTGCTGCATTCCCAGGCCATCCTGAGCTGCCTGGGGAACCACAGTGGCAGGCACTCTCTGCCGCCAGCTCTGGTTTATTTATTTATTTATTTATTTATTTATTTATTTATTTATTTATTTATTGCCTTTCTGTCAAAACAATTCCAGAATTTTTATCTGATTTTTTAAAGTTACTTTTTGTTGTTGTTGTGGGTGTATGTAGATATTTATTTATTTAAAGATGTAGCCCTGGCTGGCCTGGAACTCATTATATAAACTAGGTACTAGGATTAAAGGCATGCACCACCACGTATAGCTTTTCTTTTTAAAAATCACATTTTATTTATTTATTTAGTGTCCGTGTCTGTGTGTGTGTGTGCACATGTGTGTCACACACACATGTATATGCATGTGTTGTATAGGTCAGAGGACAACTTGCCAGCCTCTTGCCACCATGTTCCAGGCTCTGCAGCAGATGCCGCTACTGCTGAGCCACCTCGCTGGCCCCTAAAACTTTTAATATTGAGTTGTAATTTCCCCCTAAGAGAAGCTACTTGAGACAACTGGAGCGGGGACCCCCACATCTCTACCTCACATCCGGGGCATTCTTTCCCCTCTCCACCTCTCACTCCTTCCCGTCTGCCAAACCCTCAAGACACGGCTTTCACATTTACAGCCCTTAGAACACAAGTCCCCGCTCAGGGTCACTCCGCGCAGGGTCACTGAGCTGTTTTGAGCCCACAGCCACAGTACAGGACTCCTCGGGCGGCTGGGGCTCTTTACAAGAATGTAAACGCAGTGCAGGGGTGGTAAGCAGTGTTTCCCCGGTTTCTTCGGTGCACTGAAAGGCTTGGCTGAATTACCCAGCCTGACAGGTGCCCTGGGTGATTCTGATGCCATGGAAGTCCCTAAGGAGGTGACAGCCACTGCCAGTTACAGGTTCTTAGCATTCATCCCTCTCCCCAAAGCCACCTTTGCTCAGCTCCTCATCCCCACTTTCCTCCCCAGAAAACAGAGCCACTGAGTTTCCCACCGTGACAGAAGATTGGCTTCTAGGAAACCATCCACCTGATGTAACGGTGAGGGTGATTGACATCCCTCAAGAACATGCCACTCAGCCCGTCCCAAACATGAAAGGTAATTATCGTAATGTTCCTTTTGCAGCTGAAGAACCTGAAAATTATGCTCAGAGTCACACACAGGCATACCCCTGTCTGTGTTATTAGCCATTCGATACAGACAATCAATTATTAAAAGCAGTCAGCTTTAAATGTACCTTAAATATGCATCCTTAGGATTCACGTAAATGAAAAGCCACTTAAAGGGGAGTAAATGGAGGTGGTTTATCTGTCCTGCATCTGTCTGTCTGCTGTCTGGGTGAGGACATGTTCTCTCTATGAATCACATAATCCTGGCATAGTACTCTGCCCCCCCCCCCACACAGGTACTGTGTGATGAGTCCTGTCCATCATAGGTCCTCATGACCAGGGCCATAGAGCCTGGACTAAGATGTAGGTATGGGGACCCAGGTGGCCCAGGTGGCAAACTCAGGGGCTCCTGCTCCCATGGTTTAGTCCCTGAATTTGCCATCTCTGCAGATAGCTGTACCCAGGGGGCCCAGGCATGTGTATCACACATAGATATTCTTTAACCCTGTTTGAACTGCTTTTACTAACCTAGTGAGTCTGATTAATATGGCATGTTAGTTTCCAGTCACTGCTCTGATGAGCATCAGTTGAGTGGTTAACAGAAGACAAGCTTAGAGTCTGGAAGTGGTGGATCACACCTGTAATCTCAGCACTCACAAGGTAGAGTCAGGGAGATTAGCACACATCTGAGGCCAGCCTGAGCTACGTGGTGAGTTCCAGGATAGCCCGGGACTATATAGCAAGTCTCTGTCTCACAAAACTGAAGGAAATAGATGTGGTGGCGGGGGTGAGGGTGAGGGGGTGAGGGTGCGGAGTGAGGGAGGGGGTGGGGATGGGAGCTGAGGGTGGGGGGTTGAGGGAGAGGGGTGTAACTTGAGGAGATATAAGCTTTTTACTTTACTGTTCTGGAAGTTGGAAGTCTGAAATGGATCCTACAAATGCCTGTCAGGACATCTTCAGGCTAGGGCCTTTGAAGGTTCTGGGGAAATGTTTCTTTGTTTTTTTGCAGAGATCAGAGATCACCCACATTCTAGCTCAGATCACTTGTGCCTCAGTTTCTACTCACTGTCACATCTTCTCCCTCCTGCCTGCCTCTTACAGAGGTCATTGTGATTATACTTGACCCTCCAGGCTAGTCCAGGAGAATAGCTCCACCTCAGGCTCCTGATCTGACATCTGTCGTGTGAACATATTCACAGGTGCTAAAGGTCAGGACAGAGATACCTTGTTTGGGTGCGTGCATGTGGCAGGGGTGGGGGTGGGGGCATTATTCTGCCTCTCCCACACACCCCAGAAGGTCTCCAGTGAGCACTCAGGAGGCCCCCTGCCTACAGAGCAGAGTCCTCCCTCAGGAACCAATGGGGCAGCCCAGAAGTGGTGCCCAGTGCTCACCTTGGGGAAGCAGAGTGGGATTTCCGGCGTGTGGTGATGCCGAGGTGGGCTGGGCCTTCCCCTGCATCTCTGCATATTCTGCTATGGGTCTGAGGAGGGCCAGAGTCCCAGAACACTGCAAATAATTTCCATCCAGGTGCAGCTCGCTGGGGAAGAGGGCGGAAAACATTGTCCATCGGCTGTCAGGTCCACCGCAACTTTGAATTTAAGATCTTTGTCTGACAGAGCGTAACTGGTCATAAATGACCACACAGCATGGTCAATGGATAATCAGAGTAAACGTGAGCCACATCATGTCACAAACGCTGGCTATGCCAGTGCCACAGACCATGCCCTCAGCAGATGCCCTTGGTTCTCAGTTCACTAAAGGCTTTTTCTCCAAGAGTAAGAAAAAAAGGGGAGGGGTGCTGGGGAAGTAGCTTATTAAGTAAAGTGCTTGCCAAGCCCATGAGGCCCTCTGTTCAGTCTCTAGAACCCATGGAGAAACACTGGGCACTGGGCCGTGGAGATGGCTGGTGGGTAAAGCACTTGCTGTGAAACCAAGAGGACCCGAGTTCAAATTCCCAGGACTCCTGTCAAAGCCAGGCATACCCACAAATCCTTGTGAGCCCAGCGTTGCGGGGTGGAGACAGTTGGGTCCCTGGGACTTGACTGGCCAGTCTAGCTGAAATGGCAAGCTTGCTGTTCAGTGAGAGACCTTGTCTGAAGAAATAGAGAGCGACATTTGATGTACTCCTCCGACCTCCAAATGTGCATGTGTATACACATACACCATACAAACAAAATAAAAAAAGAGAGAAATTTCTAATGAAGTTTAGAAAACAACAACAGCCCAGGGCATGATGGTGAGCTTATGATCCCAGAGTTGGAAGTGGGGAGATAGGTGCATCCCCGGAGCTCTCAAGGTGACAGCACAGAGGAATGACATGTGATGAGCTGACCTCTGACCTCCACATGCATGTGTGCACCCTACAGAAACATACATACCCCCCCCCCAAAAAAAAAAAGGAGAGAGAAAGAGGCAGGAAGGGAGGAAGGAAGGGAAGGAGGGAGTGAAAAAGCAAAACTAGCCACCAGGATGCATTGTGCAATGAGTCAAAACGGAGACAAGGCGAGCAAGGGCATGGGGGGGGGGATTGTGTGTCGGGGGGAGCTCACCAGATGGCACTCTGGCTGATGACAGAGCCCAGCCTCGGGCCACTCTGAGGCCCCAGGCCACAGTAGCGCAGACTGAGGCCTTGGAGCCTTTGGTTGGTCTCCAGGCCCGAGAAGATACTCTCGAGTTCTTCATTTCCAAACCTGAAATGACAGAACAAACCCATGGCTTTTAAACTGTATCACAGGCTGAGGGGAACGCTGCAGCTGGTCACGGCAGGGAAATAAACCATGGTTTAGAGCCTGGCGGTGGTGGGTGCCCGACTTTAATCCCAGCACTTGGGAGGCAGAGGCAGGTAGATCTCTGTGAGTTCGAGACCAGCCTGGTCTACCGAGTGAGTTTCAGGACAGCCAGGGCTACACAGAGAGACTCTGTCTTGAAAAACAAAACAAAACAAAACAAAACAAAACAAAACAAAACAAAACAAAACAAAAAAAAAAAGGAAAGAAAAAGAAAAGAAAACTCAGTTCAGATTGGCTTGTCAACCTGGATCAAGATTCTGCAGAGCCTGATGCCAGGCAGTTTATTCCCAGCACATGTAAACACAGTATAATTTGGGGAAAAAGTTTCCTGGTGTAACACAATCCCCGGTGCACACGGAAGCATAATTACATTGACACTCAGCTCAGAGTACGTGTCATTTCTTCCAAGAAGATGGGTTCTAGGGATAGGCTACCTGTACTAGCTTAAGGACCCAGGGAAGGGTCTGGCCCAGTCTCGGTCATACAGATAGTGTAGAGGTCACTTGGGTTATTAGCCACCTCTGGTCCTGGTCATGGGAGCTTAGGGGAGTCTCCGGCTATCCAGGTAATATAAGGGCCGCTTAGACTATTAAGTATCTCCAGTCTGATGGTGGGAGCTGGGGGAGCCCTGACTGTAAGGGTCATTTAGATTACTAACCACCTCCAGCCCTGGTTGTAGGAACCTGATGTGGCCTGACCCAACAGATAAATGCACATCACCAGGCTATTAATCACTTCCACATCCCAGCTTTCAGGATGGAAGAACAGGTAGGTGTTCCATCTTTCCCATTGGAAAGACAATCCTGAGTGCTTAACATTCCTGGTCTCTCTGGAGATCTGTGGGCTCAGGGACCTGTGCTGTGCTCCCACCACCAGGCCACAGGGCTAACCTCAGAGTCTTCCCCCGGCCAGCTAGAAGTATTTCTACTGATCTTAGTTTCTCAGGCCGGGACTGGCTGAGGGATAGTGCAGGGCTGACCCCAAAACAAAGGGGTTCTTGTAAGGGGGGAAGGGGATCTGAAGTCAGATTTTAGGGCAAAGAGAGCAAAGAATGATTGATGTGAAGCATCCTTTCAAGGGAGCGCATGGAGAAGAGGTTCCAAATGATGAGGTAGAACAGAGACGGGTATGATGATTCGGGCATGATGATGGGGTTGGCAGCGGTGGGCAGAGTCTAGGAAGCCCCAGCGGCAGCAGGACTCTGTAAGGAAGTCCAGCCTCTCATCCTTCCTGTTATAACTGGGCTCCTTCATTCACAATATTTAGCTCTCAAAGTGACTCACAAGCACGTTCCTTTATTTACATCTTCCTTAGCGCCCAGCACCTTGTCATGCAGAAGCTCACCTTCAAGGAACATTTGTGGAAAGAACAAATGGGGACACTAATGTCTACTTGGGCACAGGGGGAGGGCTAGAAGGTTCTCTGGTCCTGATGAGGCGCAGAACCTCAGTGTGTGGTCCTCCCCTCCCCCCACTTCCTCCTTCTCCCAGCCTGCCAGCACCCCGCACTTACTTGCAGTAATCAAGGACCAGCAACTGCAAACCGCTGAACTGCAAAGCTTTCCCAAGTCGTCCCAGGGACCACAGGTCCATCTTGCAATTAATGATCTCCAGGGTGGTAACTGGGCAAGTGGTGTGCCCCTTCGACTCCAGGAACAAAGCCTAGAGGATGAAAAAATACTTCCGTCGGGACAACGACTGCGCTCTTGAGTTTTCACAGGTCCCCATGTCAAGACTATGAACGACCTCAACGTATTTGCCTCCAAGATGGTGTTCTGCATCTTGTAGCACAAAATGTAGCATGAAAATAGAGGAGTTTTCCTTCTTAAAACAGTGATTCATTGCAGAATCACATGAGAAACATGAAGCCCTGTAATGAGATATACTGCCCGTGTTATGGGCTAAATTATACTTGAATAGTTCTCCCCCACTCACATACCGAAGTACTAACCCAGGATCTCAGAAGGCTGCCTCATGGAGCCAGGTGCCTGTGTTCTGATGAGATCTTGGGATGAACCCTAACTTGAGTCGACTAGTGTCCTCACAAGAAGGGGACCCAGTGAGGACACAGGAAGAAAACCTTGCTGACGCCTCCGTTCAGAAGTAGCTGTTGCCTCAGCCACACACAGCCTAGGAGGCTGACAGCCTCTGCAGACTATGGCAGATGCCGATTTTTAAACATTTATTACTATTCTGTGGGGGAGGGATGCATGCCTGCTGTGGCATGGATGTGGAGGTCAGAAAATACCGTTGTGGAGTTGATTCTCTCTTTTCATTTTTTGCCTAGGTTCTGGGGCTGGAACTCAGGCTTGCTCGGCATGTGCCTTCATTCCACTGAGCCATCCTGCCTGGCCTGGATTTGTCAAAAGAATTTTTTTCTTTTTAAATTTATTAGTGTGTGTGTTGGAGTTGGTCCTCTCCTCCCTTCTGTAGGTAGGTTCTAGGGTGTGAGGTCGGGTCATTCAGCTTAAGCAGCGAGTGAGATGTTGGTTTCTTAATGAGGAAGCTGCTGTTGGAGTGGGCAGCATCCGCTCCATAGTGGAGAGGTCCACGGACAGCTCATTTTTGTGGTAACCAAGGATACCAGTGATGGTTAAATCCCTGTCTGAAAGGAAAGAGCATTTAAAACCTCCAGTCGTGGGGCTGGCTTGAGGCCACCTTTCAGCAATTCCAACCAGCACAGAACAGAAGCCTTGGAGGGCTTGGGTGGATTTGGAAGGCTAAGGGCCTTTTGGGGTAATGACATATTGGTCAGATCTAGGATTTCAAATGATCCCTTGGCTGAGGTTGAAAAGTTGAGCCGTAGCCACAGGGCCGGTACTGCTCTGCATGATGTGAGATTCCCTCCCCCCCTTCCCCACTAGCTAGCGTGGGCTGAGCTGGTTGCACGAAGGGCCGACAAAAACCCAGGGCTTCCAGCTCTGTGTCCTAGTTAGGATTACTATTGGTGTGCTGAAACACCATGAAAAGCAAACATCCTTCCTCCCTCCTGCACACTATTTCTTTTGTTTGAGTTCTAAGTCCTGTTCCATCACCCAGCACTGCTTCCTGGTCAGTTTGGTCCTCCATGGCCTCAGCCCCTCTGGTCTCACTGCCCACATTGTCTCCAGGTTTCAGGGGGCGCTGCTGCTGAAGGGGAAGGGGAGTCTAAAAGAGAGGGCCCAAGAGCAAGCTTTTCAACTTCTTTCTCTGTGTTTTCTTTTGCTTTGTTGAGATAGGGTCTCACTACGCAGCCCTGGGTGGCCTGGAACTTGGTATGTAAACAGGCTGGCCTGGAACTCACAGAGATCCTCCTGCCTCTGCCCCCCAAGCGCTGGAATTAAAGGTGTGCACCACCACACCCAGCTTAGTTTCTTGATGATGTTTCTAAGTTTCTCAACTACCATCTTTTAAATTAAATATTCCAGGGACACCCCCCCCACCATGGACACATACCTCTATCCTCCTTTGAATCATGTATGAGTATGCATGCATATGCACATGTGTGTTTAGCTTAGCTAGTTCTCAGCCAAAGAGCTAGTCTTGATTATCTGATTTGACTTTTCCAGAAGTGGAGTTCTTCTTACTTGCAATAAAGGAAGCTCAATTTCTTTTTCTTTTCTTTTTCTTTTTTTTGGTTTTTCAAGACTAGGTTTCTCTGTGTAGCTTTGCACCTTTCCTGGAACTTGCTTTGGAGACCAGGCTGGCCTCGAACTCACAGAGATTCACCTGGCTCTGCCTCCCAAGTGCTGTGATTAAAGGCCTGCACCACCACTGCCTGGCGGGAAGCTCAATTTCTAAAAGAGATTGATCTATCATTGTATATGTAATAGAATAACGGTTAAAATTATTGAACATAGGTGATTCTTGACAACATAATGTGAGTGAAAGTCTGATTTACAAAATCATACTTATGCATGCATGCATATTGCTAAAAGTGCTAGTGTGTGCACGGTGGAGACACATCTCCCTTAGGCAGGCACCACCTTTAGGAAGTAGGCGGGGCAGAGAGGAACTGAAGCTTTGTATCACATTGGTCAGTATTTGTCCATGTTATTCATTTAAAGGAGTGTATTATGGGGATGGAGAGATGCCAGAGGGGTTAAAAGCACTTGTTGCTCTTGCAGAGGACACGGGCTCAGTTCCCAGGACCCACACGGCAGCTCACAACCTCCTGTCACCCCAGTTCCAGGGGATCTGACAGGGATGCATGCACATACATGCCTGTGGGTGAAACATTCATACACATAAAGTTACATAAGTGAATCTTTTAAAAAATTAATCTAAAAGGGGTATATTACAACTGGGAGGTGGGTTTATGGATATTAGTTCTGTCATTTTCCACATTTTCTTAAAAATGTGGGACTGGCAGGGTGGTGGTGGTGGTGGTGGTGGTGGTGGTGATGGTGATGGTGATGGTGGCACACGCCTTTAATCCCAGCGCTCAGGAGGCAGAGGCAAGAGGATCTCTGAATTCAAGGTCAGCCTGGTCTACAGAGTTCCAGGACAGCCAAGGCTACACTGATAAACCCTGTCTCAAAAACAAACAAACAAAAACAAAACCCACAAAAAACAAAACCAACCAACCAAACAAACAAGATGGAACTTATTTAAAATTTATTTAAAACTTACTTAAAATAAGTTTGAAGAATCTCATTAAAATAATGTTGTTTTTAAGAAAGAAAAAAAAAATATATATATATATGTATATATTTATCTATTATGTATTCAGTGTTCTGTCTGCATGCATGCCTGTAGGCCAGAAGAGGGCACCAGATCTCATTATAGATGGTTGTGAGCCACCATGTGGTTGCCGGAAATTGAACTCGGGACCCCTGGAAGAGCAGCCAGTGCTCTTAACCACTGAGCTGTCTCTCCAGCCCAAGAAAGAAAATCTTGCAGCATATCAATAAGTCAGAAATAAAATAGACTACATCTGGAATACAGGGTGTTGTGTGCTTGTTTTTTATTTTAGGGTGTGAAGAAACTGAAACCACACTCACGAGCCTGGCGATCTCGGGGTTGGTCAGCTGGAGGCCCCAGACACAGATCTCCTTCCCCAGCACGTAGCTCTCATCTCGAATGGCCATGAGCAAAGGCTCCAAGGACACAGGCGGGCTGCTTACGGAGGCATCACCAGCTCTTACCAGCATGAACTGGAGTGTGAAAAAATTATAGGTGGCCATCATAAAGAGACACTCATGCATCCAGATGTGTGGAAAAGGAATAGTGCCACCAGATGGCTTCATGAACGTCTGAGGTAGTTACTGCCTGTGTACCGGGGGGTGGGGGGTGGGGGGGGGTGGGGAGCCAACGGATAACATTCCTGCAAAGGACAAGCTCATGGCTCAGTAGGTCAGAGTCACTACAGGTTACTGCCCACTATTAGGTCACAAAAATCAATTTAGTTTTGTACAACCAGCTTTTTCTTTTTCTTTTAGGAAATAGAAAGGCAGGAAAAACCATTGAATTGCATCTTACATAGCAAGGATAATAATGATTGATTCATAAAGTTTTTGTTTTTTAAAGGTTATCTATTTTAATTTTATGCCTATTGAGAGGGTTCTGCCTGTGTGTATGCCTATGTGTGTGTGTGCGGTGCCCTTGGAGGCTGGAAGAGAGGATCAGATCTCCTGGAACTGGAGTTCGAGGGGCCCCCTTGTGGGTGCTGGGAACCGGCCTTGGCACGATGTTCAAGCAGCAAGTTTCTTTTCTGTTTTGTTTTTGTTTTTGTTTTTCGAGACAGGGTTTCTCTGTGTAGCTTTGGTGTCTGTCCTGGATCTCGCTCTGTAGACCAGGCTGGCCTCAGACTCACAGAAATCCACCTGCCTCTGCCTCCTGAGTGCTAGGATTAAAGTCATGTGCCACTGCTACCCAGGTGCAAGTTTCTTTTCTTCTCTTTCTTTCTTTCTTTCTTTCTTTCTTTCTTTCTTTCTTTCTTTCTTTCTTTCTTTCTTTCCTTCCTTCCTTCCTTCCTTCCTTCTTTCTTCCTTTCTTCCTTCCTCCCTCCCTCCCTCCCTCCCTGCTTTCTTTCTTTCTTTCTTTCTTTCTTTCTTTCTTTCTTTCTTTCTTTCTTTCTTTCTTTCTTTCTTTCTTTCTTTCTTTCTTTGAGACAGGGTTTTTCCGTGTAGCCCTGGCTCTCCTTGACTCACTCCTTGCTCTGTAGACCAGGCTGACCTCGAACTCAGAGATCCACCTGCCTCTGCCTACTGAGTTTTGGGATTAGAGGTGTGTGCTACCACTGCCTGGCTAGCAGTAAGTATTTAACCACTGACCTGTCTTTCCAGCCTCTCATAAGGCTCTAAATGATATTCATAATCAAAATGGAGAAGCCTCATCTGAGCATGCTTCCAACTTATGTAGTTACTTGTGTCTACCCAGAGATTCATACTGGATGGGATGTTAATTGTATTTCTGATGATGGTTGTAATAAAAAAGTCTGGTGGAGGCTAATTATAAGAACTATAGTAAAAACAAAACTTAATCAGTGGGCTTGAGAGATGACCTAGTGGTTGAGAGTATGTTGGGCAGCTAACAATGTCCTGTCACTCCAGCTCCAGGGGACCCAATACCTTCTGACTTCCATAAGTACCTGTACTCATATGCACACCTCTCCCCATACATATAACTAAAAAAATTAAATCTTTAAAAAATTAATCAATATTATTTTACCCCCTCCCCAAAGGACGATGTGGGGCTGGAGAGCTGGCTCAACAGTTAAGAGCCCTTGCTCGTCTTGCAGAGGACCAGGGTTTGACTCCTGCATCCACCCTGGGCATTTCCACTCCCAGGGCATCTGATGTCCTCTGCCAGCACCTGTGCGGTGCCATATAGACAACCTGGCACACACACATACACATGAGTTTTTAAAAGAATGGTTGTGGGAAGCCCCTCACTGGAACAGGGAGACGTGTGTGGGAACATTCGGTAGAAACTGAATAAAAAAGGGAGCAGAGAAACCCGGAGGGCAGATGAGGGCAGAGAGGAACAGGTGGGAAGAGAGCTAGAGGGAAGGAGGGCGCGACTCAGGGAGGCCAGAATCGGAGGGAAGAGGGGAGCTTAAAGAGGAACTTGAGAAGGTGGTGTTATGTGAGGTTCGGGGGACTCATTCCCCACCCGCAAACACATTCTGGCAGTCAGGAGGGCAGGGGCGCGGTCGGGGGCGGGGCAGAAGAGTGGAGCAGGCACGTGGTGTCTGGTGAGCCAAGCTGTGAATGTCAGCTAATGCAGAGCTGGGGGAGAGTCGGCTTTGGACCGAGCCCAGGGAGTCTATTTCGGAGAAGGACAGAGTCCCCCCACTCACCCTCCTGAGGACCTGCTCTCTGTCAATGCTGCTCTTCAGGTCCCTTTGGATGGCGGGACACGGGGATGTCCGAGACTGTACGCAGTACTTCTGATACGTCTTCAGGAACTTCTGAAGAACCGGAACCACCGATGGGGGAGCCCCTTTGGGTTTTTGTTTTCTTTCCTTTGCTCTTGGCATTGTTTTATAGTGTTCGGTTCCACTTGGTTTCTGAAAACAGTAACTTAAGCTGAAATCCAGCACAAAACATGCCTCGCCCTTGAAATCCAGAAAACACTGTTGTGCGCTCTTCTCCAAGAATCTTTTTGTTTTGTTTTGTTTTTAGTTTTTCAAGACAGGGTTTCTCTGTGTAGTTTTGGTGCCTTTCTGGATCTTGCCCTGTAGATCAGGCTGGCCTGGAACTCACAGAGATCCACCTGGTTCTGCCTCCCGAGTGCTGGGATTAAAGGCATGCACCACCACCGCCCGGCTTCTCCAACAATCTTAAAGGCTTTTTATCCTAAGTGACCCTAGCGAGTTGAGTTCAGAGCCACTACAGAGAGACTCAATTTCCAATTTCCATAGTCAAGGGTCCATATTTTTGTTTCTTTATATTGAAGGCTGCACCCATGGACTCAGTTATGAGGAGGTGCAATAATATTAATTCAGGGTACTATTTAGTACCTATTAGTGGGTACTGGTTTTAAAGCAGCAGAGTTCTCTTTACTGATTCAGTTCTTGCCAGACTGTGCATACTGATGGGGTTAATTAAGAATGCGGACCTTGAGCTGGGAATATAGTTGAGTTGAAAAGCGTTTTCCTAGCATGCATGAGGCCCTGGGTTCAACACTGAAAAAGAAGCAGGCATTTAAAACACACATTATATTGGTAAATTGTCATGTGCCATTTAAGTTCACTGTGAAGATGGTTCTGCAAGTACCCCTTACTTCAGATCTAAGCATGCGTGTGTCAGGTGGCCTCCAAGACCCATGTCCAGAGATGGGCTGGACCCCTAACTCTGTGACAAGGAGGGGAGAGGACAGTGAAATCCATCTCCAACAGCCATTATTATTGTTTATCTCATAATTCCTGCTGTGGGAAAGGGAAGCAAAGTTTGGCCATGGGAAGCTCATCTGTGGAGAGAAAGCTCAATCAGGAACTCCAGCTGCCTGCCTCAACCTCCCCAGGGGATTCCTTCCTTCCTTCCTTCCTTCCTTCCTTCCTTCCTTCCTTCCTTCCTTCCTTCCTTCCTTCCTTCCTCCCTCCCTCCCTCCCTCCCTTCCTCCCTCCCTCCCTCTCTTCCTCCCTTCCTTTTCCTTCTTCTTTTTTTGTTATTTGTTTTTTTGAAACAGGGTTTCTCAGTATAGTCCTGGCTGTCCTGGAACTCTCTCATAGACCAGGTTGGGCTTGAACTCACAGAGCTCTGCCTGCCTCTGCCTCAGCTCCCACTTTTGTTCTTTAAAGCAGCCAGCCTACACTTGGTGTTTTGTTACAGTAGTTCTGACTGATGTCCAGGAGAAAGTCTGCAGCATTGTTCACTCTAGGGAGTAATTTTTTTTTTTTACCAGCTGATGCTAAGCATTTACGGATGGACAAACTCCACATGCAAGGGCTGCAAATGTTCTCCATTAAGAAAGGTTAGTGTTTTTAAAAATTATGTATTGTGTTGGTCCATCCAGGTCTGCAGTTCCTTTCTCAGGCACAAGATAAGGCTGCCTGACTGAGGAAAGCTGCAGGCATGAGGTAATGTCTAAGGAGAGATGTCCTCTGATGCAAATGGACCACAAGAACAGCCAAGCGCAGACCAAGGAACGCTGACAGAGGGGTCATAGAGACTTTTGCTTAAGCCTTGCTGGCTAAATCCTATATAAACAGCAATGGGGAATGAAAGAGAAAAGAACCGTTCATTCTTTTTTTTTGGGGGGGGGATTCAAAACAGGGTTTCTCTGTGTAGCTTTGCACCTTTCCTGGATCTTGCTCTGTAGACCAGGCTGGCCTCAAACTCACAGAGATCCACCTGCCTCTGCCTCCCGAGTGCTGGGATTAAAGGTGTGTACCACCACTGCCTGGCAAACCGTTCATTCTTGAAGTAAACCCAGAGTCCTGTGTCTCTGTCTAGCATTACCCTCCTTTCCAGGCCCGTGTGGCCCATGGCTATGTGGGCCGTAAGTGTGAGTTCCAGTGTGCCACAGTCAGGGCTGTGGAGGTCAGAGGACAGTTTATAGAAGTCAATTCTCTGTTCTGGCCAGGTGGGTTCAAGAATTCAAAACAGGTCTCCAAGCATGGTGGCAAGTGGCTTCTACTGAGCCCAACAAGTAGGATATATATATTTTTTAATTTTTAATTTTTTTATTTAAATGGCTGGCCTGACAAGACATTGCTGACTGGTGTGATAGTGGTACAAATGTTATGAGAGTCACCAACTTTTTTTTTTTTTGGGATCTAATGTCCAATCCCTGAGGTGGACCTTATGCCTGACTTTGTTTATGGAGCCAAGGATAAATGGCTAGAGAGGTTGTAGGTCCTAGGGGAGAAAACCTAACACTATTATTCTGCCCAATTGACACAGCCTTAACATGACTCCTAATGACTGACGACTACACCCATAGATTTGTGCATTCAAAGGTCCGAGCAAGGACATCGCCAGGACACTGCCCTCGGCTCTCCACACCCCACAGCACCTGCTCTGTGCTCCCCTCCTCCAGGGTAGCTGGGATTCTCCGGTGCTCCCATGGGTGGGGCTGTCCTGACTCCCACCACCTCAGCCTATGTCCTCAGTCCCATTTCGAGAGTGAGACTCACTGGAGGGAGAACAATAGTATTGGGTTCTCCCCAGGACTATAGCCTATCTAGCGTATGTTCTCAGCCTCCTTAACAGTGTCAGGCATATGTTCCACCTCGCAGACAGGTCATTTGATCCAATCAGAAAGGAGTTGGTAACTCCCATATCATTTGTGGCACCAACGCCTTGTTCAAGCCTTCGGGGAGCTTCTTCTCAAAGTAGAAGACAATGAACACAGAGCCCTTTCTCTGCTCAAAGTGTGGAGAATGAGAGACTGTGGAATGCTCACCTCTAAATGGGTTATACACATCACACCCTTTCTCCCAAGGTTTAGGGAATGTCTCCAAAGAAGGCACATGACGATTCTAAGAGCCAGAGGGGCTGGATGACTTCAGTGACTCCTTGCTTTCTAGACACAACTGAGCAGATCCACGTATGAATTCACAGCAGTTGTGACAAGGTGCATAAGATTCTTGCAAACCCAAGCCAGACAGAATCACAGCATGGGAAGGGAGGGGAAATGCTTTTGAAATTCCACCACGAGCTGAGGAGCTACTGGCATTTCATTGCTGCTGAGAGAGGGAGAGTCAACCTTCGGTCTACCTTACTCCAAGGCAACTCCCAATCCTTAGAGGAGTTGGGCTCCACAAACTGGACTCGATGGATGAACAAATGGAAGAAAACTCAAAATCGGGTGGTAGGGAGGTGAGGGTGGAGAGATGTCGGGAGGGGTGAATATGATAAATGCATTACATGAAATTCTCAAAGAATTAACGAAAATATTTAACATTATTGAATGAGAGGGGAAGGGAGAAAGGGAGGGAGGGAGGGAGGAAGAGAGACAGACAGAGAGACAGAGAGATAGAGAGACAGAGAGAGCAAGATGGAGAGACACTATGCCTGGGTCTATGGAATCCATTCTCTGCTTCCACAATTCATTCTGGTGGGTTCAGGAGATCCAACTCAGGTTGGTTGTTAAGCTGTCATGTCAAATGGTACTGAACCATCTCGCTGGTCCAAGATAATTTTCACCACAGCAGTTTTTGAGGTCCTTTCTGCATGCAGTTGGAGCCTGGGCGCTCCAAAGTCAGTCACAATAAACCACGGGTGAACTTTTTTTCTTTTCTTTTTTTTTTTTTTATTACTTAAGAATTTTTTAAAATTCATTTTACATACTAACCACAAATCCCCTTCTCATCCTTCCTTCAGCTCCCCTCCAGCCTTCTCCCCCCCTCCCCCTCCTCCCATGGAGTGTCAGCAAAGCCTGGTACCTTCAGTTGAGGCAGGACCAAGCCCCTCCCCCCTGCATCAAGGTTGAGCAAAGCACCCCACCATAGGTAACAGGCTCTAAAAAGGCGGCGCATTCACCAGGGATAGATCCTGATCACACTGCCAGGGGCCCCTCAAACAGACCCAGCTACACAACTGTCTCCCGTATGCAGAGGGCCTAGTCCGGTCCCATGCGGGTTCCACAGCTGTCGTCTAAAGTTCATGAGTTCCCACAAGCCTGATTCAGTTGTCTCTATAGACGTCCCCACCACGATCTTGGTCTCAGGTGTGCGTGCGTCTTACCTGTGCAGCCAGGTTTTAACGTCTCATCTGAGCAGCTCTGCACTGCATCTCACTCTAGAAACAGCACACAGGCCGAGGCCCTGGGAATCAGAGCTCAGGGCAGGTCCTGTGGCGGGGGTGGGGTGTGGGGTGGGGAGGGCGGTGTCCCCATGGGGACCTTTGAAATCCCAGCCAGCCTACTGGTGCAGGTGCTGAATGCCATCCAAGTGTTGCAGTCCTGCTTCCTGCGTCCTCTGTCACCATAGAGACGGGAAACTCCCGACTAGCTGAAGGCCGTAAGAATCTTGCTGTGGGCGATGACTTGGGAGTTAAGAACTTCCAGGCTGTAGGAGGTGGGGAAAGGCCTCAGGGGACAGACGTTCCCACCCCGAGGCGTGGGGCAGCCCACCTTACTGGGCCAAGACAGCTAGAGGATGATTGGGGGTCCAAACCTTGAGGGGCTAATATACTCCCCCACCCCGGCAGGCCTGAGAAACTCCCAGTCCAAGGTTGGGGACAGAGATGAGACCCAAGAAGGAAGTCAGAGAGCTGCCGCGAGATCTCTGTGCAGCTGTTGGCTTTGAAGGTGGGGAGGACGGAGCACTTGAGCCAGGAAACGTGAGTGCCTCCCAGAAGCTGAAGAGTGGAAATGCATTCTCCCCAGATCCCCCAGTCCGTCGGTAGAGGAGCACAGTCCGTCGGTAGAGGAGCACAGTCCGTCGGTAGAGGAGCACAGTCCGTCGGT